ATAACAGATTTGCCCTTATTATTGATACTGTTAAAGATTCTTCAGAAGTCTCGAGAGCCTAATTTTTGTGATGAGATACGAGATTTAATGACCTGGGAATAGCGAGCTTTGGCGTCAGACAAAACCTTTTTACAATGGTTTCTGGCGATAGTGAACAGATGTCTGTTTTCTGGAGAATTGTTTTGCTGATAGATATGGAAGTAACGGTTTCGATTAGAAATTGCTGCAGCGCAATGTGAGGAAAACCAAGGAGAAGAGTGAGGCTTGACCTGGAATCGTCGAGAGGGAATAAAAGATTCCATGCCAGCCTGAATCCACGAAGTTATGTAAGAAGCACATTTGTCAGCAGGAAGACAGAAGATTTCTACCCAAGGGCCATCACGAAGAAAATCACGGAAAGAGTCCCAGTCAGCTTTAAGGTAGTTGTATGTGGTACGATGATAGGGAGATTCTGATGAAGTAGAAGAATTTGATAATAGTTTTAGAGAGATCAAACCGTGATCAGAAGTACCTAAGGGTGAATGTGGAGAAATTGAGCACTGACTAGGATCCAAAACAAGACATAAGTCGAGTAGAGAAGGTAAATGATTCGGGTTGTCTGGAAAACGAGTTGGAAAGTTGACTATTTGAGTTAGAGATTGAGAAAGGCAAAAGTTGAGGGCCTTAACGCCAGCAGAGTCACTGACACTAGAGCCAAGCCAATCGGTGTGATGGGCATTAAAGTCACCAACAACGACGATATTGGCGGATGGATAAAGAGAGAGGGCTTGGTCAATTTGATCAGAAATAACATCAAGAATAGTGCAATCTTGGGATGAAGGAGAGCGATATAGAACAAAGAGAAAGGCGATAGAGTGAAGTTGTGCTAAACGAAAGCACATAAATGAATAGTCTGTAGATTCAAACCTAGTTTCACGACAAATGGGTGAGTTCTTACGAATGTAGATGCCCAGGCCAAGCATGTGATTATTGGAGTCTTTACGAATTAAAGGAAGATAACCATCAACACTAAGATCACAAGATGGGACAGCCGAACTCAAATTAGTCTCACAAAGAGCAAGTAGGTCTGGTGAACTTTGCAAGAGATAAGACTCAACAGAAGAAAAGTTACTTCGAAGACCACGAATATTAGTAAATGATAGGTTTAGAGAACTTGGTGATGACGATGGTTTTTTGTGTTTTTTAGTTTTAGGTACTTTAGTCATTTTAAATTTATAAAGAACTTGACTCAAGTATAGATAGTACTCAGTACACTATTTAACAACTAAGCAATAGCCTCATTACTATTAATAAACCCTAAGCCGTAACAAAGGGCTCCAAATGTGGCCTCTGTAATGCACACCAAAAGTACAAACAGGGACACCATCCATGCGCAACATGGCACTGTTAGTACTCTGATATTTTTTGGCTGTTGATGGAATCAGCCTCTCTGAGAGCTACCACAGAGTTCGGGAAACCTGACTACCAGCCGGCCTCAGAACCATAAAACTGAGTTTTAGAGCTGTACCCTCATTAGGAGATAATAGAATGAGTTGCCCAGTCATAAAAATAGAGACACAAGCAATACCCACGCATTGAGTCAAGAAGATCCAGCGTTCAACATCCTAAACTGGAAACAATGTATTAAAAATACATCTGCGCCAGCCTAATAGATGAGGAAGGGGTGCGAGGCTGGTCAACAGATAGAATCTGTTTACCCCTTAAGTCTTTGCCTAGGAGGCCTTCTACAAGACAGCAGCTGGATGCATGTAACATCTGCCCAAGATGAGTATTTTTATCGAGACACCATCTCTAGCCTTTACTCAACCAAGAGCCCCAAGGTAGGGGGTGTTTTAATTCGGAGTTAATTTCTCCTAGCCTTTGCCTAAAAAAGCGTATCCTACAAGGCAGCAGGACATGGAGCAGGTTGTACTGGGTTACATGTTACCAGTAGCAGGAAAACCTGACCTGACCGTTAAATAAAATTTTTATTATGTAGAATTTGTTTAGTCTGTGCAAATGTTCAAATGGATGCCTATTTTGATCCAAAAATTGCTGACAACACAATTCAAAGGGAATCACAAACACGGTGAATCATTTCATTAGGGATTTTGTTTGATTTTCTATCAATTTGATAGTGTTATCAAAAAAGAATGGTAGAATTAAACACAGCACTGATAGTCCACATATCATTGTAATTCCTGGAAAATCTAAATAATGTTTTTCTGTAATATGAGGATTCTCTGCTGTCCAGTATCTGCTATTGCAACAGACAATTACAGCTATTGCATACCAGGGAATTGATTGACCTGTTTTATTTAAATGTTTTATTTAATATGTTATCAAATCAATTATTATTTTAATACTGTTGCTCATTCACGGAGCCACATCTACAACATCTACACCACATCTACAAAGCTGTAAACATTTTAAACTTTTATTAATAGTTTACAAAAATTGAAGTTTTAAATAAATATTTTTTAAATTATCAAAATTTTGTAAAGTTTATTACATATAATAGATCCTAGTAGTATAATATTATTTTTTAATACAAAAAGTTTTTTAAGTAAATGTAATTTGATGTATGTGTTTTTTATGTTAATGTATTTTCTTTTAAAGCAATATGTATGATTGATTTTGTAAACAAAAAGACTTTCAACAATGACTATGTTTTCAATGGAATTATTATTAATCATCAAAGTTAATAAAACTAATTATGAATAAATACATACAAGAATAAACGCAAAGCATGAAATAGTTATTAAACAAATACTAACTTATATTATTAAATAGTCATTAAAAATTATAAACTTTTTTATTAAACAATTCAACTAGCGTTAGTTTTATTAGAATCTTGTTGAAATAAGACAAAAGTATATAAACAAAAGAAATTATATTATATACTCTTTAATAAATAGAAGTACATTTGTTTCTTTAATAAACAATCATTAATAATAAGTTACAATATTTTTAAAATGTTGCATGATTTAAAAAAAAAATTATAAAAAAGCAAAATTAAGAAAATATTAGTTCTAGTAGTAATTTATTTTGTTTTAAGTTTTTATTTTGTATTGAAAATTATTTACCTTTTGATGTCTGTGAGGGGTAGGGGGGTTTACTAACTAATTCATGCAAATTTTGATATAAAAATTGAGCAAAATAAACGTTTGCTATTCTAAACTGCCTTTTTTTTCAAAAACGACCCCACTTATAAAATTATACGGTACGGGCCTGCTTTCTTAGTTAAGATTTTTTTGTAATTGTCTCTCATCGGTCCAGTTAATCTTTCTTAGCATTTTTTTGTGTGGAAATGTTCTCAAAACAACTGAGCTGTGTTCAAATTGTCGCTACTAAATTTTATATGCGTAGTCAGGAATCAAGTTGTGATTCTTAGTTAAGTTTTTTTTGTAATTATCTCTCATTAGTTCAGTTAATCTTTCTTAACGTTTTTTTTGTGTAGAAATGTTCTCAAAACAACTTAAGAGCTGCGGCCAAATTGTTGCAACTAAATATTATATGCGTGGTCAGGAATCAAGTGCAATTGCACCTGCTTCCTGACCAAGCTTGTAAGGAGGTGGATCACCATTCATCCAATACTTAATTCTAATTGGTCATTATGGTACCAAAATTTTTTTATCAGTTACACTCATGTTTTTTAACAGTTTGTTAAGCTTATATATTTGTCATATTAATGATATTCATTTATCCTGCTGTGACACAGGTGGTTAGGTGGCCCTGCTGTGACACAGGTGGTTATCAGTTTCTATTTATTTTTGTTTAGAGTTGAGACTATGTGTTATACTACGTTTATAAATTACATTTTTTTACATATTGATACTATAGTTTAGTGGATTAGGGTGCTGGATCATAAGGAGAGTGATGCAAAGGAGATCACAAATAATACTGAATATTTATTAAAACTTATAATTTTATGATCTTAACCATTTTACATTAACTATATCACTTATATTTTCTTGTTTACTAGTACATTTATATTTTTTATATCTCATTTCAACAACAGCAACAAAACTCTGTTTACCCAAAAATTTAATTCAATAACAAAAATATTTAATGAACACTATTGTTCAAATAGTCACCATATAATTGTTATTTAGTTTGTTATAGCACAATGGTGTTATTTACTGGTTATAGTTATAGTGGTATTGAAATGTTGTTTAATATGCCGATTTGGTTTTCTTCCAATCAGGGAAAATTATGTGTTCAAACCATGAAAGCAACACATTTTATATTTTAATTTTATCCGAACTATCATTTATTATTATTTTTCCTACAATTTTATCTATTTTTTAAGATTTATATAATCTTGTTAACTCATATGCCATTATTTTATCATTTGCTAAGGATGACGAGAGTGTGAGTCATGGTGCTCTCTCCAGCTTAGCAGTAAAATTTCCCCCTTTCTATTAAATAGTTTTTACATTCATTATGCGTTAGATCAGCACTTGGTGACTAAGTGCTTGCATCTAAAATCTCACTTTATAGCACATCATTCCACACCACTACAGGGTCCTAGCACATTTATATTTCTGGATTTTTTCTGAGTATTTCTTAAAAATACTTTCTCGATTATTTTTTCGTATTGAAAAAATTTTCCGGGTTTTTAAAATATGACCTAGATAATCCGCGATTTGTTCCTGTAAGTGTATCCATTGTTAAAAATGTTGCAATAAGCAGCTCTTTATGGTAGCAGTAGGAAAATCACTTTTATTAATATTATCAAGCTGTTACAGTTGTTTGAGGTCTTTGATTTTCCTCAAATCTGTTTTTCTTTGGTTGGTTTAGTTTGCTGAATTTTATTCATTTAACCAGGTATGGGAGAACCAAAATTAAAAAGAGGATTAACTGCAAGTGTTAGGGTTAAGCTTAAAGTTTTTTAATTACTGCAATGCATCGCTCAACATTTTTTTTACTTCAAGTAAATTAACCATCAATTTAAAGGCTGGGTAGTGTGATAAACTTATGTCTTCTCAAATTTTGATAACTTTTTTTTTTCAATTTAGTATCGTGCAGACAACAAAACAATTGATTTTGACGACTTAACAGATGATGAATTTGCAAATGGAATTGTAAAAGTTGGACTATGCGCCATGAACAAAAAGGTTTAACTTTTAGATGATAGATTTTAAATATATTAGAATAAAATAAATGTAAAAAAATTAATTTATTCATAAATGAAAATAAATTATAAAATATATACATTAAAAAAAAAAAAAAATTAGTAATATTTTTTTTATAGATATAGAATATAGTTTATTTTCAGTAAAAAGTCGGTACTCAGCATTATCTTTGTGTAAACTTGAGAAAATTTAAAGTTTCTTTTAAAAAAATGACGATTAGAAAATAATTTTTCTATTTAATTGTAGTATCTAGTCAGTATTTCGTCATAGTATAGGTCAATATTTTATATATTTTTTATTCAGATATAGATTACAAAAATCCAAAAACCCAAGGAATTTTGAAACCTAGGGTTTTTGATTGCTTAAATCAAATACCTGGCTTGTAAAATTTTTGGGAATGCATTGAATAATTCAGAAAAACTCAGAAAGATAACTCAGAAAAATATGAAAGTTAAATATATTAGAAAAATTATCAGAAAAAAATGTTTTATAACTTACATGTTTGTGTTTTATAAATAGTTTGTGTTTTGTTTATGCTGAAACCTTTTATAAAACAATATTCATGTGTTTATTTTAAAGTGTAAATAAAATCTGTGACTTTGTTTACCCAGTGAGTGTTTGTTTATACACACCATAGCAGCTAGTTTAATTGGTTGTTTTTCATTCAGCAACAAAACTTAGCATTGCAGGCTTGGTCGGGAAGCGGGTGCGATCGCACTCGATAATTGACCACGGAAATTATATTTACTTGCGAAAAGCCGGCCAGATTTTTCAGGCGTTTTGAGAACATTTAAGTTTATGTATGTTTCCTTGTTTGTCCGCAAAATAATAAATTTATTATTTTATCGTAAATTTTGTTTTACGGACGTATATGGAAATTTATATAAACTTGAATGTTGTCAAACATCTTAGTGCGGAAAAATAAATAAAGAATATTCGCAAATACAAAAAACCCGCCAAATTTACGAACAACTAATTCTATTGGTTCAATTAATAAATAACTTAAATTACTAAAGAATTCAAGCGAATGTTCTAGAGTATTCTGTTGAATTATTTTTCAAAATCGTATAGTTTGAGTTTTGTTATGTTTTCGTTGAGATTTCTAGCATCAATTGTTTTAAGAAAATACTATCAAACGAACAATTATTTTAATACAATGGCTCATTCTCGGAGTCACATCTACAAAGCTATAAATGTTTTAAACTAATATTTGTTTACAAAAATAAATGTTTTAAATTTATATTTTTTAACTTGTCAACGTTTTGTAAATATATTATAGATTTAATTAGTATAATCTTATTTTTTATATATAAGGGATGTATTTATATGTATGTAATGTATTAGAAATTGGTTTATTAACTTCAATTATTTTTGCTTCAGCCATTCTTATAAACTCGTTTCATTCTTATAAACTTTTTTCTGTAAAATACTAGTTAAAGAAATAAAGCCCACTCACTAAACATCATCAGCGATATTGTTAAGCAGTTCCGCTTCCTCCTTACAAAGTAATTTAACGTTTTTAGTTAATTTCTATCTAGCTAATTAAATTTCCACAGTAACAATGATTTAGTTATTTCATTTGTTCATCTTACTAAGAAGAAGTGTTTCAAATATGTTAAACTTCGCGAAGCATAAAACAGGTACTGAAAATTTTTTTTATCTATAATTAAATTATGTAGCGTTATTTTTATTGGTTTAATCTTGCTGGACTTTACAGGGCCGCGGGCTGCACTATTTTGGTGGCCTTTTTTATGTGTGACAGCGTAAAAATGACCTAAAAATACCGATAAGTCCTCTTGACTATTTCTCGGCCCATAACATTGTGTGTCCCGGGACTATAGCTCTTCTACCCCCCTTCCCCCCACCTCTTATTTCCAGCACTGGAAATAAGACATGAGTATATAAATAAAAATTATATATAATCTTTGATAAATTGAAGAACATTTGTTTCTTTATTAAACAATCATTATTAGTACGTTGTTATTATATACAAAAAATGTCGCTTTTTTTTAAAAAAAAAAAATTATAAAAGAGCGACGTTTCGAAAATATTTGCTCTAATCATATTTATTTTGCTTAAAGTTTTTTCGCGTTAAAAGCTATTTTTCTTTTTTTAACTGTCTCTCATCGGTCCAGTTTATCATATTGCGCTTTTTTGCTTGTTTTTGAAATGTTCTCAAAACGCCTAAAAAATCTGGCCGGCTTTTCGCAACTAAATATAATTTCCGTGGTCAAATATCGAGTGCGATCGCACCTGCTTCCCGACCTGGCATTGTAGTTGTTGATTTGATTAAGCTACAAATTCTATTTATTTATATTTATATTTAAAAAAATTATAATTTATATTAGTTTTTGTCAGTTCTGTGTCATTCTTGTTCTTTTTTCTGGATTTAAAACCCATTAAACTATTTTAATTTGGTTTTCTTTTTTAAATATAAATTTTTATGTAGAATTTAAAAAATTAAAAATAGAATTTTGTTTTGTGAAGAAATTTAAAAAGTTACCACTGAATCTTTTTTCAATTTGTTGTCATTTTCAATATTTAAAGCAACTTGATTTAAAAAGATTTTTGAATTTTTTATGATGATCACTTTACAAGTTGTTAATAAAGAGGGGAAGGGGGTCCAAAACAAAGTATTAATAAGACAAAATAATTAATAAATCATAAACTAGTAAACAAATAAATCAAAATTAATAAATTTCTTTAGAAATCTGCCAGTAGTTGACAAATTTTATCATAAATATTACTCTTTAAATGAAGTCTACAGTAAATTATCTTTTAGAAATTTTCATTAAATAAGATTGACTGCTCAGTAGTTGTAAAAGCAGTTTGATATATGCATTGAAAAACTTGGATTATTGTATCATTCTTTCAAATAAAGTTTTGCAAAATTTATCTTTCATGAATAGAAAATAAGAAAGTATTAGGAGTTTGGAAAAAGATACAACAATGGAATAACTGGTATTTTAGGTTTTCCTTATGGTAATATATTTAATAATCTAAACCATTGTGAAATCAAGATTCAGGTAATTTATAAATACTTTGGGAAATGTGTCTGGTTGTTATAAAATCAAAAAATATATAACACAATCATTGAGAGAAACAACTGATATTGAGCAGGTTAGCAAAAAAAGAACTACAGCTTTACATAAGACGTCCAAGAAAAATTTTATTTTGATTGTTTAAAATTACAAAGTAGCCCATTTACTTGTGAATCAGATGTCAATGAATGTATTGAAAAAGAGAAAAATCTGTTAAATGCCAAAAACAATTGAAGAACAGGATGTTTATTTTAGGGATACAGTAGATCATTGCTGCAAAAGTCCACATCTGTGAAGAACCACACAAAAAATGCCTTATTATGTCTACAGTAAAATAAATTATTTAAAGTTTCTACTTTGAAAGTCCTCACAACAATCGCCTACTTTTCTCTAGTTGTTAAGGTGCTCCAAAAAAAACTTATCACAAAGCAAAATTTAACTAGAAAGTTCACACATCCTTTCTTACCATTGTCGCTTAGCTGGCTAGAGCTGACATCGAATCTCAGACCTCTTGATTTTAAGTCAATCTCTGCATCCCGGCTGCTATGAATTTATTTTGCATTTTTACTAGTAATTGTTACAAATTGTTTCTTATATGGATTTATTTTATGTATAATGCCTAACTTTTTGTTGTATTTATAGCAACACACTATGGTTACTTATTTTATTAGTTAAATGAAAAGAAAAATATTTACCATGCGTTCTACTTTAATAATAATAATGGCTTCAACTTCAATTTGATAATTGATTGTTTGTCAAAATAATCACTTTTATTAAAATTAAAGTAGAAAACTAAATATTTATAATGAAAAAAAGTATTAAGTAATTCAAAATCAGCATAAAATAATTTAGAAAAAGTGATTAAACTTCACAAAATTTACAAAAAGTTACTTTTGGAACCCCCTACTTTTTTTACTTTTTTATGCTATTTTTATCATATTTATATATTTTTTTAACTTTTATCTAATTTCTAGATAAAAGTTAAAAAAATTTAAAAAGTTCAGGACGAACAAAATTTTATTCATATGAAAAAATTTAATCACTTAAAGCCTATCGCTTTTCTAGAATTTTCTCATTTGTAAAACTCCAGATAACAAAATCAAATTATTTAATTTAAAAAAAACAACAACAACCTGAGTCTTGAGTCAAAGTCCAAAGAGTCTATCATTTATGGCTTTGGATTCTCTAAAATGGTTATTTTAATGAATTTAATGACCAAAATATTTCTAGTCTTTAAATTCTTAGTTTATTAGAAACTGTGAACACTGTTTTAATAGGGTGTGTCGATTTTTTTTTTTAATATCTAAAAAGAGTAGTGAAAAAAAGTAGTTTTATGATTAGTTAAGAACAGAAAAATTTAAAAAATTAAATTTCATTAAGGGCTAGCTCGGTAAATTTTGATATGAACATTTACCCTTTTGGTCATTTAAACGTTTATTATTATTTTTTTAATTAAATTGCACTGATAATTGTTTTTATACCTAAAAATACTGCTTAAATACTGAAATTTAAAAATGTGTATTTATATTAAGTAAGCGCTGGTGTTACCTAATAGTCATTTTTACAAGGCAATGCCGTGGCTAGAACCCCCCCCCCAACCCCTCCTCCAAAAAAAAAAAAAAAACAGGCATAAGGACTTCAAATTTTAAAAACCCTTTTACAACTAGGTATTACTAAAATAATCCGTCATTTGAAAAAGAGCCCCTAAAATTCCTCCTATTACCATACCTTACACAATTCTAACTATTAAGAGTATTAAAGATACAAGTTTTTAATTAAGACATCGCTTTATAGTTTTTAGCTTCTCCACTTGAATTTTAACAAGGGTTGCAATATCTTTTTTGCTTCTATTTCTTGATATTAAATGTCTACTTTTTTTTTTTTTTTTTTTTTTTTTTGTTGATTGATTTTTTTAAGTTGATTTAGGTGCCCCAAGAAGTC